GTCCGGGCTGGGGATTCGAACCCGCCACCTTAGGTGTACGTGGCTGGCGCCTTAGCCGGTTGAGCTATAGGCGCCGAGCCGGCTTAAGTGATTCTTTTGCCTCAGCCTCCCAAGTAACTTGGACTCCAGGCACCCACCACAATGCCTGGCTATTTTTTTGTTGTAGTTGTCATTGTTGTTTAGCAGACCTGGGCCAGGTTCAAACCCACCGGCCCTGGTGTATGCATATGGATGCCAAACCAATTCCTTCCCTTTCAAGGTTGAATGAATAATATTGCATGTATAGACCACATTTTGTTTATCCAAATGATAGGCATTTTGTTTGCCTATCAATGGACACTCCATTGCTTCCACCATTTGGCTCTTGTAAATAATCCATAAGCTTCTTACAAGATTTACTAGATCTGCTGTGAGATGTGACACCATGGCACTCTACCAAGGGCAACGTAGTGAGACTCTGTCTCAAAAAAAAAAGGAGGAATTTCTGATACATACTACAACATGGATGAACCAATATTGTGCTGAATAAAATAAGCTGCTTGTATTATTTTTTCCTTCATAACCCTTTTGACAGTTCGTTTATTGAGTGTCTGTCTTCCCTACTGGACTATGAGTTCCACGACAGGATCACATTTATATACTAACCACTGTTGACCCAGCCTCCTGCAGTACTTGGCACATATAGGCAATCCACAAACATTTATTAAATAACTAAATGAATCAATGAGTAAATGATTACCTCCTTCATGTTTACACGGATGGAGCTGGAACATATTCTTCTTAGCAAAGTATCTCAAGAATGGAAGAAAAAGTACCCAATGTACTCAGCCCTACTATGATACTAATTTATAGCTTTCATATGAAAGCTATAACCCAATTATAGCCCAAGAATATGGGGAAAGGGGAGAGGGAGGGGATGGGAGGGGGGAGGGTGATTGGTGGGACCACACCTATGGTTCATCTTAAAGGGTACATGTGAATCTTTCTAAACATAGAATATAAATGTCTTAACACAATAACTAAGAAAATGCCACGAAGGCTATGGTAACCAGTTTGAAAAGATATTTCAAATTGTATATGAAACCAGCACACTGTACCTCATGACTGCATTAATGTACATAACTACGATTTAATAAAAAGAAAGAAAGAATATGAAGTATTCCTCTGGGCCTGAAAAGTGGCCCTGATGGGAGGTTGCCAGAACTTTTTCATAAAAAGAGAAGGCATCCTCTCTTGACAGATTGATTCACCTAACCAGCCTCTGGCTTTCCGCTCGTGGACCTCATTCACTGGGACCTGTGGCTCCCTCAGAGGTCTGTCCATTCTTCATCGTAAGAATGTAAGCACTGTTCATAAAGATGAGGTGGCCTTTCTACCCCAACAGCAAAGAAGCCAGTGAGCATGCACACTGTCCACGATGGCGCTGTCCACACTATTCAGAGATCACCTTTTTACAACGACATCATTCTCACCATTGGGGGCTGGAACGTGGCCATCTGGAAAGAAAATGTTATGGTAAGTTGCCTTGAAAATGGAGGAGTGGGTGTGTGGTCCTCGGCTATAGAGAAAGACAGTAGAAGAACAGCCTGTTCTAACACAACAGTGCCTTTGGGATGTTTTTTAGAGAAATTAGAACAGATGGCCTGGGCTCCAGCTTGTCAGCAGAACCTCTGTAAGCCTTTTGAAAACACACCCATTCATTTTCCTTTCCTGAGGGAAAGAAACCACATCCATGAGTCCTTTGATGTCTGAAACCCAATAGTTTTTCTTTGAAATATCTGCATGTGGGCAATTGATTTGTGTTCTGTCCCCACTTTAAATATAAGCAGGGATGCTGAGTTGTGTATGACATCCAAGGAGAATCATGGGGTCTGTCATCTGTGCTTCTTCACTGGGGATGTGTTGATAGGCAGGTTCAGGAGAGTGGGAGTGAGTGAGTGGGGGGTCTGACAGCAGGCAGATCAGAGCCTGTCCCGAGGCACACTGGGCTGGCCTGAGGCAGGAGCGAGAGTGTGGTCAGGGTCAGGAGAGGGGCTGGATCCAGGCGGACGGGTGCTCAACCGCCCCAAACTAGAAAGACTGACAAAATCCAGTGAAGCGAAGGTGTTGGAAAATCAGTACTGTTGGTGGGAGTATAAATTACTGTGTCTTTGGGGTGAGCAATTTGAGAAGATTATCAAAAGCTGAAATATTGTGTGTGTGGTGTATAGATAGATAAATTCTGTATATGGAATCTAGAAAATATCTAGCCATATAATATAAAAAATAGAGATATACATGGATGGATACTTTGTGGACAGCCGTGTGTGTGCATGTGTGTGTGCGTAATATACAGGGTGTCCATAATTTAAAATTAAATTGCACACGAACTTTACAGACACCCTGTACCTATAGAAGGTGCCAAAAAATGTAAACACATTTTAAGATAGGAAAAAACTATATTAAAATCATAATACTCATTATATACCAATAACAAAGAGGACTATAAATCCCATTGAGGACCTTTTCTAATTGTGGAGGTCAAACATGACTTGAGTGGGACAGCTTTAATACAGTTTGTTGCTTTCCTCTACATTTATTTGGCACCTTCTGTATAATTCAACCTCCCAGTGCTGCTTGGGGAACCCTCACAAACACAAATACTTAAAATGTGCATGCGAATATGTGTACAAAGTTATCACAAAAACTACGAGAAACACTTCAGCGTCCATCAGCAAAAGGACTTCTGTTTTATCCCAATGGACTTCTGCATGACTGAGGACTTAGTTACAAAGAACAAATTCTGTAGCAAAAAAAAAAGGCCAAGATGGTCCAAAACTATGCAGGAGTCAGAAATCTGGTTATCCATAGAAACCAAAGTCATTGGGAGAAGTGGACAAGGACAGCAGGTTTGAAGGGTCACCTCCATGGTGTGCATGAATATGTGACACTCTTCTCTCCCCATAGAGAAGTTTCTTGTGCGTGTGTTGGAGGGTGGGAGGCAGCTCCATGGATTAGCTTGGTCCCTGCAGATATGAGTAGACAAATGAGCGACCTGGCTGCCAAATGGAGCCTGACAGTGGGTTGGAAGCCAGCCATTTTCTTCTGTTAAAACCTCCCAAAGAAGGCAAATTACCCCATGGTAGAGAAAAGATGATCTCATGATGCATTGGTGGTCTAAAATCGCTTCCAAATACATTTGTAAACCAGCAGATGCTTCCACTTGAAATTACTTAAAAAGAATTTTCCAATTTGCTGTTGGTTTTCAGCAGCTTGGGATGGACAGATTTTTCATTTGCTTTTACTGGCTACCAGGGCTCTCGCCATGGGGAGCAGGTATCTGGCAGCAAAGGAAAGGTATAAGCAAAATGTTCTTAGAATTTTTAGTTATCAAACGTCCACCAATCTCTACAGAAAGAGTCACGGAATATTTAAAAGCAGCTGGACTGTCAGAGCCATCAGCTCAGTTGAAAGGTTTGGTCTTTAAGTAAAAGGAAAAAAAAATTAAATCATTTATTGAAACAAACAGGAAACATGAACTATTACAGTGGTTCATGCTTGTAATCCTAGCACTTTGGGAGCCCGAGGCAGAGGATCACTTGAAACCAGAAGTTCAAGACCAGACTAGGCAATGTAGCAAGGCCTGGCCTCTATAAAAAATAAAAATTAAAAAAATTAATAAGGCATCGTATGCAGCTATATTCCCCGGGGCTTGGGAGGGGAGGCAGGAGGATGACTTGAGCCCAGAGGTTTGAGGCCATCATGAACTTTGATCATGCCTTTGCAGTCTAACCTGGGCCACAGAGTGAGACCCTGTCTCAAAAAAGAATTAAATAAAGAAAAAACCAAAAACTGACAGGAAAGGAAAGCGCTTGCGTTATAACGAGACCCTCCATCAAAAAGGAGGAAGACCTCCTAGTGGGCATCATTTCGCCGTCTTGTGATCATGGCCAGCTAAACTGTACTTAAAGAAACCACTGTGAGTTTCTCTCTGATAATAACTAAGTCTTTTTATTTGTCTTTAAAAAATGTTTTTGAAGACTGGACCCCTCCTTCAGTCCTGCTGTGCCCCCAAACGGTACACCTCAGGGCACTGGTCCCTGACGAGGCCCGCGGTTTTCTATGTGGGCCGAGAAGATGGCTACATCGACATCTGGGACCTTCTGGAGAAAACCCACGAACCCTCGCTGTCACAGAACATTTGCATCACTATGATCACAGGCATCAAACCCTGGCCCTCTTCTTGTATGTTAATTCTAATCAAATGAGCTAAGTCGTGTGGGTAACTTGGGGACATTTTGACATTTATCTGGAAAGCCTCCTGTTTTTCCTCAGGGTTTTGTTTTTCTTCCCACCCGCCCCTTTCCCTTCCATTCCATTCCCTTTCCTTCTCCTCTTCTCTCCTCCCTTTTCTTCCCAAACTTGCCTTTCCTTTCCCTTCTCTCTTGCTCTCACGTCTTAACCACAACACGAGCTTCCCTCACTGTTCAGCCTGGTCTGCACTGGTTTCTGAGCCACGTTTCGTGGGCCTCAGCAGAGCTGGTTTTGAACCACACAATGGAAGGCATCCTTCTCATCTTCTCCAGGCCAGACAAGGTGTTCCCTAAGTCCCTAAATCACTGTTGCCTTTGGCTGCTTCTTTTCCAGATAGAATAAGTTTTATTTCTTTAACTTTTCAGTATTTCACCTTTTTCCATATTAGGTCACTTAATGGTTCTCGCCTATGGAGCATTTCTCTTCCTTAGACCAGATGCCTGTCTGGGTTGCATATCTATTTAAACTTTAACCTTTGAGTGAATTAAGAGGAAAAAGTAATATATAACAAAGCCAGCATAAATTCAAGGATGTGTCTATGAAAAAGTAATTTATTTCCTTTGTCCCAATTTTTCTGTTTCACCCAAGTAGTGCTTTCTATATCAGGTGTCCTCAAACTATAGCCCATGGGCCACATGCAGCCCACCTAGGACATTTATCTGTCCCCTGTTGGGTGTTTTTGCTGCCGCTGCCTGTCCTGCTTAGCAGCCGACTCGTCCTGGGGCCCGCAGTCTGGCCCTCCAACGGTCTGAGGGACGGTGAACTGGCCCCCTGTTTAAAAAGTTTGAGGACCCCTGTTACAATTACCTCTCTTAAAAGATGTTTCCTTTTGTTTCCAAAAGTGCATAGGCATAAAATTGTCTTTCTTTCCATTTCTCTTGGAAACTTACTTTGGAAACTCATTCTTCAGAATCTCTACAGTGTCACAGTCTGACTACTGCTTAGTCATATGTGTCACCAAAGTTTTTTTCCATTTTTAGTGCAAAAACATTACTTGTGTATACCTACAGGCATTTGGGGACTGGCATTTAGCAATTTGAACCATTTCTTCTGAAAATGAGAAGAAAAAAAGCCCACACACGATGAGATGGCAAATTAAAGTTCTTGAATACTTTGTGTATTATACGCCTTTTAAACGCTTAATGGAAGCAATTTGCTTTTATAATAAGAAAACTGTGGGCTCGGTGCCTGTGGCTCAAGCGGCTAAGGCGCCAGCCACATACACCTAAGGTGGCAGGTTCGAATCCCCAGCCCCGGCCCGCCAAACAA